CGGAGACTCATGCCCAAAACTAATTTTAAAGTTAAAATTGGACATTTCACAAAGATTCTTGCAAAGCGATCAAGTAATTTTCTCTCGCACATGGATGAATGAACTCATGGTTCATTCGAACTCGGAGGTAAAAGGATGGATGACCTATTTGAATGAAATGATTACAGCAATTGAGATCGCAGTTGTCTTGTTATGTTGGGAATGTCGCTCACTGACATTTATTTCAAATTCAGTAGCAGAATATGAATTGAAAAAGTGAAACGCCAGGATATTTCAGTCAATGAAAGACGATACAACAAGTGAATCGATGCAACAGGCACACGAACTGATCGAGCGAAGTTGTTTGGTGGATTCGCATCATCTCTACCAAATTACTGCCGGGTTCGTTATTTGTCTGATTGCTGTGATACAACTCGTTATGATAACGATGATAGTAACAACATATTAATAGTAATGTCAGTGATAATGGCACTGTTACCATTTTGCCTAATATGGTGATCTCATTCCTCAAATTGTTCTGTCAATCTGCAACATCTCAAAATTCACTTCACCTAAACGAATTTTTAGATGTCTCGCAAGTTCAGACGCTGTCTCCGTGTGCAGTGAGCAGAGTTCGCGATCATTTCTCGGCTTAAGGCAACGTGCGGCCGCTAGTCAAGCATCTACAGGGTAGGAAATGATATGATACTCATCGCTGCAAGCCCATAAAAACTCATGCAAATTCGAATTTTACTACCAAATTTCCGCGATGTTTCAAAAGCGTCTAAATTTTTTTGCAATAATTCAAGTCAGAACGTTGAGTTCTGAGTATAAAATAGCAAACAACCTTCTTATCCTCGATGGGAAACTCGTTAAAAGCTGGAATCAATGCCGTATATATTGATGTGATCAAATGTTGATATGATCAGCGCATATTCTTGCTGATCAACATAGTGATCGTGATCAGTTAGCAAACAGTCATGGTTAATATTTCATCAAGTCTTTGCGGCACCTTATCACGACTCATGTCAATAATCGAAATCACGCAGAAATAAGTGTGAGAATAGCTGCTTAATGATGATTGTCAAATGTGAAGTATCGAATAGAAACTGCAAATTGAAACAGTTTAAACATTTAAAATCTAGTTGAAGAGGGCGATATTAATGTAATTGTGTTGACGGACATGAATTCATTGGATATTTACAGATTGTTAGAGCTGACACGATGCGTCTCGAATGTTCAAGGTGGAGGATGTCTAGAAGCAGGAATGGGCACCTCAATGACCGATAGTGCCATCAGTAAAGATACTGCAACTACCAGCTCGGTGGCACGTACCACCAATAGGTTGCTACTCCTTACTGTGAACTGTTGTCCCGTCTCAAATGGAAACTAAAAAGTATCAAGTTCAATCAGGGCCGTGTTGTTGCCCATTGAACTGTTGCGTAGTTCTAAGCTTCGCTCTATGCGGATTGCTTCCACACCTGTAAGAAGGAGTCACGCACAGTCACACTACATTAACAGATTTCTAAGAGAAACCTATCAGTGGTGAATTCTCATGAACGTTGAATCGATGANCAATCAGGGCCGTTTTGCCCACTGAACTGTTGCGTAGTTCTAAGCTTCGCTCTATGCGGATTGTTTCCACACCTGTAAGAAGGCGTCACGCATAGTCACACCACAATAACAGATTTCTAACACAAATCTGTCAGTGGTGAATTGTCATGAACGTCGAACCGATGATCAGAAATTACTGAAGTGAATTTCAGATCGATAATGTTCGATTCTGCGATTGGTACGGATCTTGTCTCGAGCGAAGATGAATCGTGTAATGCAGCCATTTCGTCGTCAAGTCTTCACCATTGTTCAATTGCGTATATTCCCTCGACGAGTAATCCGTCAATTATAAGGTAAATCTGGCTTTGATCTACTTTTACAGATCTTTTGCTCAACACTTATGCGGATCATGATTTCCATTAGCAGTGCTGTTATAACCGACTGAACTTAATTGATTCGAGGTACAAGTATCATCCATATATTTTCATATGATTACGTAATTGCATTTTACCTTCCAGTTTTATATTTTTCTATGTGCTCCATAATGGCCTAGTTTTATATCTCTATAATTTTGGCTGAAACTATTTTTAAAATTTCCCTGAAGTTTGAATTATCGCACCCAAAGTTACACTTCAAAAATCTTTTTGATTCGAGACAAAAATGTTCCGAGAATTTCGCTCAAAAATTAATCATCTGATTGCCAATCAAAAATTACATCAATTGCGTTTTCATTAATAGATTTCTATTATCGTCAAATGTGATTGCCTTTTCCTGTGAAAAAATATCTGTAGTGGTGTGTAATGAAGCGAAAATATCCGTAATGAAATTCAAGTTGAATGACGGTCAATCTCTAGTCTTTATCGATAATTCACTCCACCCAGTGACGTATGTGAAAAACGAAAAAAAATGGACTTTCATTTAATTGAAATGGAATTTTTTTCATCGCTAAATTGAACCGTTCAACATTTTCGCAATTGAACGAAGTCTTTTTCTCACCGCGTAATGACGAAAAAGTCACGTCCGAATGGTGATCATCGTCGAAGAAAAACGCAATGAAGCGTACATTTTCAGCACGATCTTTCGCCTCGATCAGTTATTTGTGATAAATTGATGTTGCTGTTTCAAATGACATTCTAACTTCGGAATGCGTTTCCGTCCGTCATTAAGTATTACCAAAAGAAGTCTGCAAATGAGCATCTTGTGTTTTAAGATCAACAACACTGTTATTGCATTTGCAAGGCGTACACTTGAAAAACTGCACGTATTTAGATAGAAGTTTGCAAAATTTCAATCTGAGAATCTTTTTTTTCGAGCAGTTAAAAGAAAACGAGAGAAATGACAGTTGATGAAATGAAATTATCAGCAAATTTGAATATCGTCACGTTTGATGTTTTCTAAAGTATTGCTCACAACGATATTGCTATATTCAGCAGAGTTCTTATTGATACATTCAAATCACGCAAAATAGATGAAAATCACAAAATGTATTCTTCACATTCTTCTCAACTCCTCACTGTTGTTTTTACCCATATAATTCTTCATTGCGATCAACTCTTGGAAATATCTGATCGATTGTTAATTCGTTTACAAAAAAAGTTGCTTTTAAAGTTGCTGCATTAGATAGCACTGAGCTGAGCTGCTGATTTATTTATGTATTATCTTTGATGAACAGATGCCAGAAGAAATGCAAAAGTTTCTTGATACAATTCATTTCAGGCGAACAAATCTGAAATTGATCAGTGAAGATCAACACTCCGATCAGTCGATCTCAGAACGAAGTTTGGAGTGGTTTGAAGATGAGTTCGGAGACGATGACGGTGAAGCGTTCGCAGAATCGTTTGCTGAATTTGGGATTAAAAGTTTAGGTGATGGCCAGGGAATTGCATTTGACCTTGACAATGCAGTTCGACTTAATACCTCACAGGTCCGTGCTCGTTCGTAAGAATGCTCTTGTCATTGATGCTTCGCTAGCTTGTCGGTTTATTCATTTGAGTGCGAGGATAATTCATCACTACATTTTAAAATAATTAAAAATAATAATTAAATTAAAATAATTCACTTGAACCGTTCTATGAGAATTTGAGTGTGTGACCGCAGTTTGAAAATCAGACGGTTGAGGATTCCACTTGGTTTTTGATGCGTTTTACTTCTAAAAGAGTGCTTTATACTGGAGTTTTTGCAAGCAACATAGAACCAAACAGTAGAAAAAAAGATCGCTGGATTTTTGGACAGTGATAAAAGGCATCAATTTAATTGAATTTTGATGTGTTCATCGTATTATATTTCAAAACTCATTTAAAACTGCTTCATTCATTCGTTTGGATTGCTTCGAGCGTTAGTTTTTGAAGTAATCCATCTCTCGCCTTCCGGCATGAACATTCAGGCTTTCGATCTCTGCCGAACGAGTTAACACTCTCAAATTCACTCAGTTTATCCAGCTATTACGCATTGTTTGTCATGAAAACATTGTCCGTGCTGCAAGATTGTTTTCGTATCGTTTGCATTCGGCTGACAATCACAAAAAGATTAAAGGAAATAAGATTTATCGATTGCAACCTTAAGTCAAATGAAATTGAATTGCATCGAAAATCCGGAAGTCGTCAGCAGTAACAGAAAAACATCTAGATACTTACATCCATCCATAGGTTTCGGTTGTCGGACTCCATCTGTAGGAACGGTTCTCATTGAAAGGGACAACAGCAAAGGAGTATCCTCTCGTATGAAATCAAAGTGATGAACGATCACACTCATTTTGCAAGTGAAAGAGTATTTTTTGCGGTGTCAAGTTCAAAACCCAATTTGGAATGGTGTGTGTGCACTCATTCGACACAGTAAATCACAGGCAGATTTTAGGCTGCCGATTGCACACCTCAAACTAAAGCCAAAGCCATCACGTCTCTGGATATTCCGGGTTGCGCGTCCTCTACGAACAGCCCAAAACTCGACATTGAGGTATATGCTTGTGGCACATTTTTTAGATTTACGTCTTGTTCAGTTATCTTCAGTTATCAGTGTGGAGATATATCTAAGGGAACTAGTCTATGGATATGGTGGTGACGAGATTTTCATGTGATCACGTTCTGAGAACAGCAAAAAGGGTGGATGTTTTTCTGCAGTAGCTTCTTCGACATTTCATGACCACGTTCGTGTTCGTGTCTATCGTATGAAGACGAAAAGCACATAGCATGATCTCATTGTATCCATGAAGCAGGTTGCTCGTAAGATTGTATCATTCGGTTCGTCCCCATATGGTTATTCGAGTAAAATGCAATTGCTCTTCTGTTTCTCGAAAACCAAATGACACTTCAAGCAAAAAATATCAATTCATCATCACGTAATAAT